TTGCCTTCAAGGCTCAGTTAAGCAGGTTTAGACTTGACGCGTTAAGATTCATAATTGGCTGTGTAGATGAACATATTCTGTGATATATTCATAAATTAAACGGATTCATTCATTTTTCTGGACTGAATAATAATGTGCATTGAATTTAATTAAATGTGGACGGAAACGTGTTTATCTTTGACTCACCAACGACAGTGGGTCATTTATTTACAGAATCAAAGTTTAACACATCACACATTTACATTAATTTGGCAAAATTGAAAAATAACAACATGGCTAATTTAGCAAGCTGTACAATTAGAAACCATACGGCGATGGTTGAAAACCTTGCTTCACAACAGACTTCTGAAAATATCTGGAATGATTTCTAGCAAAAAGAAGAGTTTTAAAGATGGAAATGAAGTTTAAGTTGAGAGAAAGGATGGATGAGGGAAATGTGTGTGTCGGCATCAGAACGGCACTCTCCGGTGAGTTCCCAGCTTCTTCCCCGGTACACTTAGGTGGTATAAATCAACTCTTTACCTGGAGATGTCTCCACTGGTATGAAGTTCCATTTAACGCACCCTTTCAGCGTCTCCGTAGGAACAGCTGTGAATCGTCCGAAGTAGTGACGGTACTTGTTCGACACAAGTTCACCTCTTGGTGGACTCACATGAGTGGAGTCCGTCAGAAGTTCCACTCAGAGGTGGAAGATGTCATAATCCCCACAAGACTCGGAAGAGCTCTGGATCATGCCTGGACTTCTGTTCTCCCCAGCACTGGAGCTGCAAACGACTGAAGCCGGAGCCTGAAGCGACTGGTTTGAACTAGGAAGTACCGACATTTAAAGAGTTCTATTTCCGGTTCATTTGGGAGGTTCCTGATTGGTCGTTTTGACCAGACAGGGGTGTGTTTTTGTGACGTAAGAGGTCACTAGAAGTCAGAAAAACAGCAAGAATGTTATGGAACAGATTGAAAATGTTTTAAAGACAGACGAGAGGAATATTTAGGCGAGTTGGGGGAAAACAGGTGCCAGCCTCTATATTTACGTCTGAGAGGATTTAAAAACATGACAGTTCGTTCCAACAACTTGTTTTGCGTTTGACTCCAACCTTGGACCAACTTACACTTGCTCATTCAAAGACAGAAAATCAGAAAATGCATAATTACTCTGTAACAGACCTTAACGTGATTTCTACTTTGCATGAGGATTAAAAATCACTAATACTGTTTCACAGTTGATTAAAAATGATTAGTTCACTTCAACATTTAAAAATGGTTTGAACTAAACACACTTTGATTATCAAACATTTGTAAAATAGTAATGATAATAGAAAAAGAGAGTGTTCTTTCAATTGATCAGTGCAGGACACTTAGAAAGTCTTCTGGATGGACTTGATCTTGTGTTTCTGGACTCAAATCAATGAAATACAGTTCTTGTTCCAGGCAGGCCCTCAAGGCCAGATTTTGACCTGAGGCTTAGTTCACTACAGCTGTAACTACCCTACCCATCACTGCACCCTGTATTCACTGATCAATTGGACATCAATGACTTCACACAGACTCTCTCACTGGTACATTTTCACTTTTAAATCACTTCTTGGTCTGTTGCCTTCATACATCTCCTACATGTCACTTTGTCAGTGCAGATACAGCGTACACTCTCAGGACATTATTAAATGCAGTGTTCCCTCAGTGCGGACTGAACTAGGCAAATGGGCCTTCTCCTTTTCCACTCCTGTTTCCTAGAATATCTTGTAACAAGATCTGAAGCTCTTGACCTTGACCTTTCTAAGGGATTTTAAACAACTGCTAATTTCATGGCAAAAACCAACGCAGACATCTTCCTGTTTTTAGTTTTTTATATCGCTTTATAATTTAGCTGTTTTTGTTTAATTTTATTTTAATAATTTCTTATATTTACTTTTTGTAGGGATGGCACCATCTAGTGGGCCTTCCCCTGTCTGTTCTCCCTTGTGTCTGTATTGATTGTCTGATTATCGTCACCTGTGTCATGTCCTGGTTGTGTGTATATAAAGTCTGTGTGTCAGTTCTGTCGTTGTCGGTTCGTCGTTGGGTATTGCCTATCCTGTCCTGCCTGTCTGATCCTGTTCTTGAGTCTGCTTTGTAAGTTTTGCTGCCATGTCAGCCTTTTGATTTATTATTATTATTATTATTAAAAGTATTTTATTTTATATATCTGCCTCCTGAGTCCTGCCTGCGCAACTGGGTTCTTCTGTCCTGATCTGCCTTGAAACCCTGACAGTACGAACCGACCAAAACCTGAACCCAGCAGGCAGACTCACTCAGACTCTGCTCACCTGTTTTTGCCCGAGTTTGTCCAGATGGAGGGAGCTGCGATCCGGTGCGGTGCCTTTTGGACTAGACCCGTCCTGGGACTGAGAAGCTGCAGCCAGGTGGTTGAAGTTATTCCTTGACCTCTCCTACTGCAGGAGGAGAGACGAAGATCTCAGCTCCAAAAGAACCACACAGCACCCAGGTTCAGTTCCTCCTACTCACCAGTCTGTTCTGGGTGGACGTCTGGGGAGGACGCCGAGTCAGAGGACGAACTCTGGTTCGCCCTGGTACACCACCCACATCGCCGCCAGAAGGGAAAGGGAAGACGCAACCGGAACCGGTCCGCTGCTCTTCTGCCCACATCACCTGCATTTCCAGCTCCTCGCACTCAGCCCGGCGAGGCTGAGTTTTTTGGTTCCGCCTCCTCCTGGTCCCAGCCTCCAGCCTGCTCTCCTCAGCCAGAACCTGCGAAACCGGGGAGAATTTTGCAGGGGGGGGGAGCAGTCATCCCCCCGTTCATCTGTGGAGTGGACGAAGGGGGGTCAGCCCGGGGAGCGTGTTGGACAATCACTTCCTGCTCCTATTGAGGATGACCAGATCCCTGAGCTGCCTTCTGTAGAGGACCAGGTGGCTGATCCCCTCATCAGAGGCTCTATAATTATTCTCAGAATCACTCCAAGAGACAGAGTTAAAACTAGAAGACGCCTGGTGGACCAACTCTTAGATATATTCATCTCACAGCCTGACCTGCTCAGCACATCGGTTCATCAGGTGATCTTTCAATTTGCCATGAAACTAAGAGCTGAACTTGATCCCAGTTTTGTCGCGTCACACACTGCAGAGCCTGCAGCCAGCCCAGAGCCTGCAGTGGTACCAGAACCAGCTGTAGCCAGCCCAGAACCTGCAGTGGTACCAGAACCAGATGCAGCCAGCCCAGAACCTGCAGTGGTACCAGAACCAGCTGCAGTCAGCCCAGAACCTGCAGTGGTACCAGAACCAGCTGCAGCAAGCCCAGAACCTGTAGCAGCCAGCCCAAACCAAGATCCAGCCCCAAACAATCCAGTCGCAGAAGAGTTCCTCACAGTTGCAGCCCCTGTGGTCGCTCCCATGCCCACTACAGTTTCCATAGTTTTTCCATCTCCTGCAGCCTCTGCATCATCCACACTATGTGAGGACACAACCTGTCCTGAGCCCATAGACCCAGACACATCTTCTCCTGATCTTGTTGCTGCACGCAGCCCCCATGGTGGATCCCTTACCGCTCCTGTCTGCTCAGCTGTGGGAGTCCAGGTGGACTCCGCTCCTGTCTGCTCAACCGTAGGAGTCCAGGTGGACTCCGCTCCTGCCTGCTCAGCCGTGGGGGTCCAGACGGACTCCGCTCCTGCCTGCTCAGCCGTGGGGGGTCCAGACGGACTCCGCTCTTGCCTGCTCAGCCGTGGGGACCCAAACGGACTCCGCTCTTGCTCCAGATCCTGCATCCGCCAAAGGGTCTTCACCTCACCCTGTTGGTCCTGCTAAAGAGGATCCTGGCCAGCCTGCAACCCTCAGCTCATGTCTCCTGTCTCGAGGGGGTCCTGGAGGACGCCCCTCACGTCGCCCATCTCGAAGGGGTCCTGGAGGACGCCCCTCACGTCACCTGTCTCAAGGGGGTCCTGGAGTACGCCCCTCACGCCGCCCGTCTCGAGAGGGTCCTGGAGGACGCCCCTCACGCCGCCCACCTGAACGGTGGTCCTGTACTGGATGGCCTCCACGCCGCCCACCTGAACGATGGTCCTGTACTGGACTGCCTCCCGGCCACCCACCTGATCTGCTCTGGCCTGTCGGACGGCCTCCCGGCCGCCCACCTGACCTGCTCTGGCCCGTCGGATGGCCTCCCGGCCACCCACCTGACCTGCTCTGAGCCAGTGGCTGGTCTCCCGGCCATCTGGACATTTTATGTTTCCCTACTTGGTTTAGTCCCCAGGCCTTGTCCTGTCGGTTTTGTTTTGGTCATTGTGTGTCTTTGTTCGGGCCCGCCACCCTTGCAGTTCCTCCCTCCGCCCGCCCTAGTTTTCTGGGAGGGGGTTTCTTGGGGATGCCAAGGGGCGTCCTTGAGGGGGGATACTGTAGGGATAGCACCATCTAGTGGGCCTTCCCCTGTCTGTTCTCCCTTGTGTCTGTATTGATTGTCTGATTATCGTCACCTGTGTCATGTCCTGGTTGTGTGTATATAAAGTCTGTCTGTCAGTTCTGTCGTTGTCGGTTCGTCGTTGGGTATTGCCTATCCTGTCCTTCCTGTCTGATCCTGTTCTTGAGTCTGCTTTGTAAGTTTTGCTGCCATGTCAGCCTTTTGATTTATTATTATTATTATTATTATTATTATTAATAGTATTTTATTTTATACATCTGCCTCCTGAGTCCTGCTTGCGCAACTGGGTTCTTTTGTCCTGATCTGCCTTGAAACCCTGTCACTTTTCATTATATATTCTTTTGATACAATTGTCTTTTGTCTTTACCTAATCTGTGTTCTTTGTTAAAATCAGGTCTCTCTTGTAATTAATTGAGTCCTCGAGGCTCAATGAGACTAACCTGTATAAATAAAGGTTGAATGAATGAATTAATTTCTCATCATAATGTAACGTGGTCCTTGTTGAAATCTGGTGTGAACAGTAGTCGGCTGTATGCATTTATTGACAAAAATGCTACTCCTTTAATTCATATTTGTAATGGATCTTTTTCAGGCTACAGCTGGGACATGGTGCATAAGATGGAGGAGAACTGTAGAGATCTTAAACATCCAGTGACCTTCCCAGTCCGTGCTGCTCTGCTGGCCCAGTCCTTCTCACAGCTGTCATGGCTGCTGCAGCAGTCAGACAGGTGATTTTTCAACCTCAATGTTCAACGTTCATGCTCTGTTTTAGTTTATGGCTTTGTTTCTTGTTTCTGACTTAAAAATACAATATTTCCACAAAAACAGAATGATAAAAACAGAAAGGAAACAAAAACATACATATATACATAAACTTGTATTTTAGTGCTGAGTATTAACAATGTAAATCTAAACGTTTTTCTCATTATCTTATCTAAATTTTGTTAATATTTATTACCAGTATATAGCCTGAAGTAGGTAGGGAGATACAATATATATATATATATATATATATATATATATATATATATATATATATATATATATGTATATATATGTATATATATACATATATATACAGTGAACCCTCGTTTTTCATGGGGGTTACGTTCCAAAAAGAACCCGTGATAGGCGAAATCCGTGAAGTAGTGACCGTTGGTTACGTACTGTAACCCCAGGTTCTATGAGTATAAGCGTAGCCCTTTAAGGCTGTCGCTTGGTGGGTTTATCCCGTTATGCAGAGCATTAGCACTGAAAAATTTAGTCCACGCCCACCTGCTGTGTGGGCCCTACCCGGTCCGTATAAATTACGTTAAGAGCGGGAAATCAGCTCCCAAAATAGCTTTTTCTTCAGCCATTTAGGAGCCAGTGAGGCCCGACGCTTAAAGGGCTATGCTTATACTCATAGAATCTGGGGTTACAGTACGTAACCAACGTTTTATTTCGTATAAGCTTCGCCCTTTAAGGCTGTCGCTTGGTGGGTTAAGGGCGAAGCAGATGTGGTCCTCGCCTCACTGGGTCCATTCGAACACCGTATGAAGCAGAAGCTTGCCCAAAAAATGTCTTGTCACTCAGCTCCCTATGTGCATAATTACGCATTGCGTAATTATGTGAGCCATGCATAGACGCATGTTGTGTAACTATGCGTTCATGGCTGAGCAGTATAGACAGATTAATAATAACAAATGACTGATTATCAATCAAATGAACTAATTGGTAACAATAGTCATGAACTGATTAGTGACAATAGAACCAAAATAACTGACACAACTTGTGACTGATACACATCTCACACTGTGAAGCATGCAGACAGATGTGAGCTTAAACAGAGTTCCATGAAACAACAATATTCATTCTGTTAGAGCACTAAGGACAGAATGTGTCATGGAACGGGCCGTCACATCACGTAAATAAGAGCGAATGAATGAGCAGGGTGTTGACCACGCGGCCGCAGTGCAAAAGTCCTGCATTGTCATACCATTATGCAAGACAGTCGAAGATGCGATACCCCTGGTCGAGTGCGCCCTGAGGTTGACAGGAGGCTCTAAATCTGATGCTCTGTAGGCTTTAGAAATGGCCTCACACAGCCAGTGTGACAAGCGCTGGGTGGATAACGGGCGACCTGCAGGTGCATCTCTATAATGCACAAACAAATGTTGAGTTTGGCGCATTACAGCTGTGCGCGCTATGTAACACGTCAACGCCCGCACCGGACAGAGAAGATGGCAAGATGCTTCTTCTTCTGATCTGTGGGGGTGAGGGAAAAACCCCTCCAATGATATCGCTCTTGATTTAAAAGAGCTCGTGATGTTTTAGGCATAAAGGCTGGGTTTGGTCTTAAATCAGCTGAGCTGCCCGTCAGCCTGAATTCTAAGACATGACGGAGCGACAGAGAGGGCAGATAAATCACTCACCCTCTTAGCGGATGTTAAAGCCAGCAGCAGGGCTGTTTTAAGAGACAAGAATTTAATTTGAACCTGATCCAGAGGCTCAAATGGAGCTTTGATCAGGGCTCTCAGGACCAGCATTAAATCCCACTGTGGCACAAGTGGGCGTGAAACAGGCCTGTGTCTCTGTACGCCTTTTAGAAACCGCTTCATCAGCGGGTGATTAAAAGCTGTTCTGTCTCCGAACCCTTCGTGGCAGGAAGAGATGGCTGCAGCGTACGTTTTAATCGTGCTGAAATGCCAACTTCCTGTCCATCAACTGTGTAGAAAAGACAGCACGCCGCCTAATGGACATGAGGTGGCCTCTACACCTTCTCTGTACACCAGCACTGAAAAACTGTCTACTTTGATGTGTACAGCACTGTGGTAGATGCAGCACGTGAATCCTGGATTGTGCGCACTACATCCTGTGGGAGACCCATCCTCTCTAAGCGGAACCGCTCAGTGGCCAGACCCACAGGTGCTGGCCTATTTCTGGGTAACTCCTGATCGCTCCTCCTGCCTGGAGGAGAGCGTCCTCCCTTCATGGCAGTTTCCACGGGCGCCCCGATAACAGGCGTTGTAGGGCTGAGAACCATGGTGTGTTCACGCGCTCGGGGGCCACCAGGATAGCTGTCAATCCCTCCTCCTGAACACGGTTCAGGAACCGTAAAATCAGAGGAGGTGGAGGAAACGCGTGCAGAAGTGTTTTGGACCATGGGCTGTGGGCAAATGCATCCACCCCCAGTGGTGGTTTGTCTCGCGGTCTCAGGGAAAACCATAGTTGACACTGAGCGTTCTCTCGTGTCGCAAACAGGTCCACAGCTGCTTTGCCAAATTTCTGTCACATCTAAGTCTAAGTCATCAGGTCTGGATGGAGAGTGCAGTCCCCGTGACGTGGGCCGCCCCTGGACATCACATCTGCCCCTTTGTTCAGAACACCGGGATGGAGAGCAGATTTTGGTGAGCCCAACTCAGAAGCTTTTGTGCAATGTGTAACATCTGGGCTGAGCGCATACCCCCTTGTCGGTTTATGTACGCAGCAGTCACCTTGTTGTCTGTGTGAATCAACACATGTTGATTCTGTAGCGTGGGAGCAAAGTACTGAATCACATTCAGCACCGTGCGACACTCCAAAACATTTAAGTGGGCTGATGTGTGATGGGGCCACAGCGCCCCTACTGCTTGAGATAGGCATGTCCCCCCCAGCCTGACAGCGACGCGTCCGTGAAGACTGACACGTGACGTGGGTCTGCTGACGGGGGCTCCCTCCGACAGAACCAGGGTGTTTCCCCAGTGTCGGAGGTCTGCCCTCACGGAGGGAGGAAACAGTGATCATCCGTCTCTTTGTTTTACTGGATCCACACGCAGACGCACAAACCACCTCTGGTGGCGTCTCATGTGTAATAAACCCAGCGGGACCACTGAGTGAGCTGATGACATCATTCCTAACAGCTTCATGACGGAAACAGCTGTTACCACTCTGCCAGGTCTTACGTGGCAGAGCTGGTCTCTTAAAGTGTAGATTCTCGTTTGTGATAAACGAGCCTTCATGGTGGTTGAATTTAACTCCACTCCCAGATAAACAATTGTCTGGGCCGGGAAAATCGAGCTTTTCTTCCAATTTATGGCGAAGCCCAGATTTGACAGGTGTGATGTCAACACCTGAGCCTGCATCACTGCTTCCTGTCTGGAGCGTGACCGCCGCAGCAGGTCATCCAGGTAAAACAAAACTCTCATCTCTGCTCTGTGTAACGGATGCAGGGCTGTCTCCACACACTGAGAACGTACGAGGCGCGAGGGAATACCCGACCGGCAGCCTGTTGTACTGATACTTCATCCCCTGAAAGGAGAAAAACACAGGAATTTTCTGTGTTTTGGGATGATCGGTATATGAAAATAAGCATCTTTTAGGTCGACGGAAAACAAACCAGTCGTTTCTCTGGATGTTGTTCAACAGCTGTCTGGTTGTCAACATGTGAAAACGGTCTGTCCATGATCGCCTTGTTGAAAGCTGACAGATCCAAAATCGGTCTCATCCCTCCGGTCCGTTTGGAAACCAGGAAGTAACGTGAGTAAAACCCTGTGTTTTCCTCTCCGTTGGGAACCCTGGAGATCACTTTTATCAGAAGCACTTGGACTTCTGCATTTAGAGATGAGATTTGGTCTGGTGATGACAGGACCGTCTCTATAGCTCCTCCGAACGGAGGGGGTCGGGTTGCAAACTGTAACTTGTAACCATTTGCATAACACCCTGTCCATCCATCTGACCGGCGAGCATGTTTTAGCCACTCTACGTAACGTTCGTGGAGTGAACGTGCGTTTAAGTGATGCGTCATGTTTTGTACGGCTGTCACCAGTCCGCCCCTCAACCGCCGTCATGCGTAGCGGGAATGTTTTCCGCGTGACCCAGGGCGAGGCTTCCTCGAAAAAGGCTCTGAACGTGCCCGTGCGCTGCGTTCGGACCGCGGACCAACCTTCATGTACAGGTGGGCCGGTGTGTGCTGAGGCGAAGCGTATGACAGCTGATGACACCGTTGGGCTGCGCGTTTGACGTCGCTGTGCGAACGTTGAGAGGCGGAGAGCGTGACTTCATCTACGCCGTGCTGTTGGAGTGAAGGCTGCGAGCCCCGCGGGAGCACACGTTTTCTCTGGAGGGACGCGCGCCGCTCTTGCTGGAGGGACGCACGCCGCTCTCGCTGGAGGCGAGACTCGTCACCGGGTTGTTCAGCTGTCTCACGCTTATGCTGCCATGAGCAGCCGAGCGCTGAGACGCGGTGGGTGACGGCTGCCCGCAATTGCTTCGGTGAGGCGTGTGTTGCTCTTGTGAGAGCGAGGACCTCCACCGGACCCAGCCTGCGGTCCCACATTTATACTGATGTGAGCCGGTGAGCGCCGGGCAGCTGTGTGTGCGCCATCATCAACGCAGCGCCGTTGGATGGAGGCTGTTGCATCGCACGAGTGCGCGTTTGACACCGCTTGGGTGAGGATCATGCAGCTCGGGTTGACAACGAGTTATTTTCGCTTACCATTGTGTCGTGTGAGCGACTCGTCATGTCTTGGAGCGACGGTGAGTTTAAAAAACCTTTATTTAAGGACACTGCTCGTTATGTGTGGAGGATGTGTGCGCAGCCGCTGTGAGTTCATCTGAGCTTACAGACTGGCTAAAAACAGACACTTTGATCATTGAATGATGATTTATTTCAACTTTCGTGTCACTTTTACACACACCCTCCGCAGACCGTCATTTTTTAAAACTTCTCCCCCTTGAGCTCTGCGATTTGTTTGCCCAGAGCGCTGTC